CTTTTTGCTGTTCTAAACAAGACAGCTCGGGTCATCCTCTAACAAAATGCTGGATAAGTAGTCAATGTTGTGTCCATTTCTTTCTAATGAAACGTGTTATGAAATATCTGGGCCATGTGGAACATTTTAGAAAAGTACCCTACTCGCTTATCACATTTCAAAATGCAAAAATATTAATCACCTAGATCGCTGGTTGATCAACAATGCTTTCACAGCCTCCAAAGGATGGAGCTATATATGGAATCTTCAGTGCATCAACAAATTTTGCAGTTCTCAATAGATCTCCGTCAACCTAATCAAAATTCAAAATGTTAAAGTTTCAGAGAAATTGTCAAAACAGAAATATATATTGGAATTCAGTTCAGTAATTTAACACTAACCTCAAAACTAACCACACCACCAAAACCATTCATTTGCTTCTTTGCAATGTGATGTTCTGGATGACTTGTCAAGCCCAGATAATATATGTGCCTAATCTGCAATATACATTGACATTGTTAAACATGCCTTCCTTCAAAGAAACTACAATAAATTGCAGCAAAAAGAAAGATAGATTAATGATAGATGCTAATCATGCAATTCTGATATAAATGATTGATTAACGATGACACACAATTTTCTCGAAATCCATTAGCTTTCTTGAATGATAATCTGATTCCATTACCTCTTAGACAAATGTATCTAATATCTATAGGAGTGTTGACAAGTTTGGACGCCCTAATTCAAGTTTAGAGAACATATCAATCACTTTCTTTCTCTAAAACGGAGCTTAAGCAACTAAGCAAGAATGTCATCATCCCATTATACACTAATACACAACACATGTATATATTATAACAAGAAATAGTCCAAAAATCCTTTTTGTCTCACTGAAAATTCCCAATTGGATATCACAGAACGGCAGGCACGATTTGGGTATATGTGTTTTTCATATAGTGTGCAATTTTGCTACAAGAATTTGGAGGTTGAAATTGAAAATTAAATCGAAATCACCTTCTTCGTTCTTCTGGGCTCCGGCCGCTTCGGGCTTCTCCAATCTCCACTCTCCAGTGAATCAGTGATTCAGTATGACACTTCTTCTTTCGTTGGGCAGCTTGGGCTGGCAGGTGGTGTCGCGGCAGCTGGCGGTGGACTGGAACTACAATCTAGAAGTCGGCGACTACAACTACGAGCTGGAGTGGCGACGCCAACTGGCGAGATTGCGAGAAGCAGGCAATAGGTCGACCGGTCGAGAGAGAGACGATTCAAGCTCAAGTCAACCAAGGGTTTGGTTTTGATTTGAACAAAATTGGGTGTTTTTTATTTGAACGAAACCGGGTTCGGGTCGGGTCAGTAAACGAGCATGGGCTGATGGGCTGTAGGCAATTGGGCCTTTTTCATTGATCCAGGCTTTACCAAAAACAAAAAATTAATTTGGGCCTATTGGAGCCCAAAAGTTCAGTGCGGGCAGCCGTCAGCAGGCAATTGGGCCTTTTTCATTGATCCAGGCTTTACCAAAAACAAAAAATCAATTTGGGCCTATTGGAGCCCAAAAGTTCAGCCCGCACTGGACCTAATGGGGCTCCGCCCCTGACTCTTAGCTCTCTGAACTCCTTGACGATAATTTTGAAATCTACATATTGCTGCATTGCTTTCCTTCATTTATTCCTAGATTACCTTGCCAACTTCCTCTCGAGTTTTCAGCTTTTGCTTGCAATGCGCGCATTATCTACAGTTAGCACTTTTAGACTTTCCGTCATTTCCTGCATTGTTTTGGCACTTTCAAACGGCACGCAATTTGTCCATGATACAAATCAGAACAGGAAATCCCACTCGTTTAGCTACAATTTTCACTTTCTAAACTCTTAATTTGGATTCTCAAATAGAAATAAGAAGTAAAATAACTATTTAAGAGAGATATTTGAATTGCATGTTTTCTTTTTCAAATAAGGGGTATTTATAAATTTCATTTCAAGCGTTGGGGTAGTTTGGTTATTTTCAGATAATGTTAGATGCGGCTCCTTATTGCTATCTTCTAACTTATTGGCTATCACTTGCCCACGTGCCTCTTATTGACGACTTGTAGCCAACCCGAACCACGAGGTTTGACATATAGTATTATAAATGAATATGATAGTCTTTGGTTTCTTTGTTCACCTTGTGTGCTGCCTTACACTTCACTTAATAGATAGCAAGGTTCGCGGATTGAACCTCAAGGGTTAACATATATTATTTAAATAAATGAATATGATAAGAGCATTGTTCGAAAAAGCTCTCCTATGTGACGCCTAGCGCTCAAAGCTTGAACCAAATGCCATGCATTTGCGTTGAGTGCCTAGTGGTATTTTTTATTTTTATTTTTCCTTTTTTAAGAACCTTTTATTTAACTTTAGTTTCAAGTTTTTAAATGACTTTATCTGCACAAAAGTAAAAAATGAAAACAAATTTAAAAAAAAAAAAATCAAGTAGAACTTGTTTAGTTGAAAATTAAAATTTTGAAAAATAGTTTAGTTTTTATATTTCAAAAACTTAAAAATTATATAATTGATTAATTGTAGGAATTATTAAGTAAATATAGTATTTTATAATTTTAGTTGTTCGTTATATATTATTTTAATTATTAAATAATTTTTAAAATGATAAAAAATTTAAAATAATATTAAAATAAGAAACCTTTTTATTACGTATGGTCCTCACCTAGGCTTGTAAAGTTTGAAATTTTAAATCCTCGTCTAGTCAGGTCTGATGCTTTTCCGAACATTGGATGATAATAAAGTTGAAATGTAGTGTGGATAAATAGTAGTTTTTTTAAAGTTTTAAAATATAGAATTTTGATAGGAATAAGTTTGAGCCCCATTTGGCTCCATGAAAATTCAAATTTACTTTTCTCTGTCTTAATCACACATTCTCCAATAGAATAATAGAAGAAATTGCAGCAACGGTCCCTAACCTTTCATTTTTGCAGACTTTACCCTAATCTTCATATTGTACCACCCACAGTCCTAAAACTTTTAAAAATATGCACCTGAGATCCAAATGAATGGAAATTGTGACCGTTAGTTGACCAAGAAAAATGAACTTTGACCTATTTTGACCAAATTGAGTGAGGTAAAATGGTAACTTTACTATTTTAAACATAAAATAATTTAAAAACCAAAATTTAAAAAAAAAACAAAAGAAAATAAAACTCATCTTCTTCTTCACCCCATTCCAACACTTACCTCAACCCCCAACCAAATTGAAACTAAAAAAATCACCAGCCTGTTGCCACCATTAGAACCGCCGCCACCACTACCGTCAATCTCAAACAGCACCACAAATAATATCACCCAAACGAAACCTGAAGATATCGTAAAACTCGATGTGAATGAAAAATCATATGGTCCATCCCCCCCATGGAATAAAGTCTTCTTTTATTGATGCCCCCCAGGGCACATCCAAGTTGGCAGAACAATCACATTGGGGGGCTCTGGAACCAAGTGTGGGGAGTTCGATTCCTGGTTGGAGCAGCCAAGTGATGTAATAACCAGAGGAAGGGTTGGAGCAGCTTGGTGATGTAATAACCATGGAGGAGGGTCCCTTTGGGGAAGGAGTAAAAGCCATGTGGGAACCTGGGAACCAACAAGGGCACAACCTGCGATTTACCTCCACTAGTCACTGAGGGGCCGGGGGCTAGAGGTCCAGGATTTAGTCCGGCTAAGCTGGGATACCTGGGTTATCAAAAAAAAAAAAAAAAAAAAGTCTTCTTTTATTGATAATAGCAAATATTACAAGTTCATATGTTAGATATGAAATTATGGGGTTGTTTGAGCCACATTTTTCTAGAAAAATGAATTTTGAAATAGTGTTATGATGGAGAATGTGTGGTTAAAAAGTAATGAAAAGTTATGAGTTTGCATGTAATATTATTCTATTGAAAAATGTGTGGTTGAAATGATATCAAATTACTGTTGAAGAATGTATTTTGATGAAAAAAATAGGGCTCGAACAAGGGCTATATCTCGTGTAGGTTTCAATTTTATATGCGAATATTTTTCTAACAATAGCTCAATTTCTTGTAGGTTTTAGAATCTTTGGGGTCCATGAGATTCCTTGTACTTATCCTAACCATGAAAGTTGTAGTTTGCGAGCTGCACTTGCTGAAGATTCGGGCATTGAATCTAAATATATTCTTGCTAGGTGTGGTGCAAATGAACTGATTGGCTTGATTATGCGGTTCAGGCACTATGGTTGTTAAAATTTGTGTATATTTTTTGGTTTCTTTTGCGTGGTATTATTTTTGGTGTTGTTTGAGATTGATGACGGTGGGGATGGTGGCAATAGGCCGATGATTCTTCTGGTTTCAATTTGGGTGGAGTAGAGATTGGTGTGGGGTTTGGAGTGGGATGAAGAAAAAGATGAGTTTTATTTTCTTTTTCCATTTTTTTATTTTTTGGGTTTTAAATTTAATTTTTAAATTATATTATTTTTGAAGTTATAAAGTTACTATTTTACCCCTTCAATTTGGTTAAAATAGGTCAAAGTTCATTTTTCTTTATCAAATAACGGTCAAATGGACGATTTTCTATCCATTTAACCTCAAGTGAATATTTTTTGAAAGGTTCGGGGCTGTAGGTGGCACAAAATGAAAGTTAAGGTAAAGTCTACAAAAAAATGAAAGGTTAGGAACCGTTGCTACAATTTTTCCAAAATAATGTTAAAGATAACTATGCTTCGATTGGCACACCTTAATGTAACAATGAGAATGAAAAATATAGTCGTTATAGGTCTCACACAAGAGATAAAAATTCAAATTTGATGACTAAACGTGATGAATAACGGTCATATTTTTTTATTTTGATAAAGAAAAAATGGAAAACAAACATGGACTATATGTTCTTTTAAAAAAATACTATTCTTATTATTAAAATTTTAAATATTAGGAGCCAACATTTTTATTGATGTGTTATGCTATGCAAACAGGGTTTGTCACAGGAACCGAAGTGTCACCACTTCTTTATTAGTACACTTGCCCATCCGTAAACTGACAACAATGTTTAAAAAACAAACATATGGGACGCCCTTACTATAACCCTTGGACAATAATAGAGTCGACTAGATTTGCGATTTGATCCAGTGCAACCATCAATTGCGATATTCGATTCTTGATACCATGAGTGGAAAATTGGATTGCGTGATCGTGGCCGTAGATGGAAGCGAAGTGAGCATGAACGCCTTGAAATGGGCTCTCGAGAACCTGAAACTCGGGTCTTCTGAGAGTTCGTTTGTTATTCTCCATGTTCAATCCCCGCCGACTATAGCAGCTGGCCTTAATCCCGGCGCAATCCCTTTTGGGGGTCCCAGTTAAGGGTGTTTTATTTTTTGGTATTATTGGTGTATTTTTGGATTTTGGTTAGTTATTGGAATTGTTGTCAACAGGTGATCTAGAGGTGCCTGCATTCACTGCGGCAATTGAGGCTCACCAGAAACGGATTACACAGGCTATTTTGGATCATGCTCTTCAAATTTGCTCTAATAAAAATGTTGGGGTTCTTAATTGTTTTTCTCTGTTTGTGTGCGTTTTTGTGTGGAATTGAAGTGCTTAATTTCGTACTTTTCAAGAGAAAGTGCTATGCTGTTTTTTTGTCATGATATTGTGAATCTTTTATAATAATATTTTGCTATTTTTGACGAGGGATTTTGATGCTTTTGTAATCAGGTTAAAACAAAAACACAAGTACTCGTTGGGGATCCAAAGGAAAAGATTTGTGAAGCTGTAGATCAGTTGAATGCTGATTTACTAGTGATGGGGTTCCGTGCTTTTGGTCCCCTTAAAAGGTAAAAGTCTATTCATTAAAAGTAATTTCATATTTAAATACCGGTCACTTGCGAACTTATGAAAAGAATAATATACTATGTGCGTTGTTGAGGAAATTTTAAAGTAATCCACTGTGGCATAAGTAGAATTTTGTATGAACTTTCCCATAAATTAGAAACTACTTAAGTAATAAATCAATTACAATATTTCATGGTATGCAGTGAACTGTAATAACTTATAAACTGTATCCTTTTGTGTGGTTGATATGGTACTGGTTAGCTACATTTGTAGCTGGTTTGGTTGTTCTAGTCCACCAATTGCAATCTTACACATTTTGCTGGAGAATGAATCAATTACAGTACTTTGGGAACATGAAGTGTAGCTATATATAAAATATTACGTTTTGCATTGTTGATGTGGTATCTGGATTGCTACATTTGAAATTGGTCTGATTGGCCTAATCCACAGATGTCAATCTTACCCATTATTGGATTAGCACATTTGAAGTGGGCTCAATTTATGACATCATATGTTGTTGTTATCTCAAGGCTGACTGCTAAAAGAGAAATTCACTGCTAATATAATATAAATTGTTTTTAGGCAGTTAGGGTGGTATTCAATTACCAGTACAATGTTTTTATAATTTTTTGTTCACTACCAGAAGTTTGATTCTCATCTTTGATGCCTTTATGTACCACATTTTTTTTTTTTTTTTTTTTTTTTTTTTTTTTTTTTTTTTTTTTTTTTTTTTTCTTTTTTTCCTTTTTTTTCCCCCTTTTTTTTTTTTTTTTTTTTTTTTTTTTTTGAGTATTCTGTGTTTAGATTTGATAGGACAGTTATGGGGTACATTTTGCCCCTGTTTGGCCCCCAGTTTTTAAAATTCAGTTTTAAACATTTGTTGTGGACCTTTACTTTTAATATTGTTGCAGCCCTAAGGATCAACATGGGTTTCCTTGGATTGCCCTGTAATATACACAACAAATTAAAATGTTTGTGTATCTTGCTATATAATTAGTCTTGCGGTTACTGTCTCTTTGGTGGTATATACTACTGTATATTATCGTATTTGCGACAAAGGATTTATAGGACAAGAAATTGTAACAAGGCAGCAATTCCTGATAATCCTCTGTGTGGCTCAAAGATGCTACCTACCTTATTTTTGAGTTCTTCTGGTCATGAGATGGCATGTTTGTTGTGTGAGTTTCTGAGTAGTTTATGCTTCTAAATTTCTGACAGCAGGTTCGAATTGTGTGAATGAGCTTAATAAAAAATTACAGTGAACCTCAGTTTTCAAGTGTCTCTCTTGCTGTAAAAATTCATTCACAAATTACATAAACATTTCAAATATTTTTATCGATTTGATGCATAATTTAGAATAAATTACCAGAGTTTTGTTCTTGTTTTCTATATTTGGGTTTGTTGAAGTGGATGTTTAAGCTCTTTTTGAAGATAATCTTAGCGTTTGAAGTTCACCAACTTTTCTTGCAAGCTTAATTAGAATATTTGAGAATTAAAATAATAAAAAGAAAAGTTTTATTGAATAAACTGGTAACAGTGGTTTGTTCTGATCTTGATATTGTACTTTGTTTTGCATGTTCAGCTTGGCTTGACACTAACATGAAAACTGCTTAATCTTTTAAAATTGTTAACAAAATTTTCAACGTTGACAAAATTCTTAGCCCCTGTTTGAGCCCCATTACATTAAATTACATTACATTTCATTTTTCTCTCTCCTATTTTCAACCATACAATCTTTCATAAAATAATATTACACGTAAATCGAAAACTTTTCATTCTTTTTTAACCACTCATTTTTCAAAAAAATACTATTCCACCCATTAATTTTTCCACGTAATGGGGGTCAAACAGCGGCTTAATTAGTTAATTAGGATCCTACCTGTATGCCTGTATCGTAAATCAATTACATATCTATCTTCACATATGTTTTTCTTTCTACACTGAAGTAAAATCATAATCTCTCTTTTTCTGTCTTTGCCTTGGCTGTTCACTTACAAGTTATGCTTATATGCTACAGACATAATTAAATATACGAATTTTCTTTTCTTAGTTTTTTTCTTTAACACCGAAACAAACATGATGTTGTCCATTTTTCTCCAAATTATGATATTAGAACTACCTGTGCCTCATCCCTCTCGAAAAAACAGATGGTAATTTGATTTAATGAATGCAGTCTTATGGTTGTCAATTCTAATTTTGATCCTACCAAATCCTTCTATTGAGATGTCATTAGTAATTAAATTATAGCAGATCATATTATCAATATGTTTTTTGCAAAAAATATTATTTGACCATACTTTTTTAAACAGGATGTTTTTGGGAAGTGTTAGCAACTATTGTTCAAACCATGCACAATGCCCAGTTGTGATTATTAAGAGAAGCTCTTGAGAAGCCATTTTGAGTACGCATCTTATCACTTTCTCTCAATGCTAGTTTAGCTGCATAATTTTTTTTATTTTCGAAGGATTTGGGCGATTTAGTATTCTTGGTAGTCACATAATTGTAATTTAGTACTGTAACTTGCTTCATACACTTGGACACATTCTAACATGTACCGGATACGTGTTTTTAATTTTTTAATGATTTTTATAGTTTTTAAATTTTAGTTACGTATACATTATGACATGTAAATAGATAACATTTTTTTACTTAATAAATATGTATTGTTATTATCAATAACTTATTGAAAATAAATAATATATATTTGCAATAAATAACAAAGCTTTTTTAATTAATATTTATTATTGATACCTACTCTTTTGTATACTCAATGATAAGGAATAAAGTGGCTCTACAAGAGCTGAAGAATTGGCTTTCATTCATAGCTATTGGCTTCTTTTATCTATAAAATTAAATCTTTATTTAAAAGGAGAATCCAAAATGTGAGACATTGTCGTAGACCTATTTGATACTCTTGCATGTGTTGGGCTGATTGCAAATAATATTCTATAATTAGATGAGCCAGATTTGGAGTGTAAGAAGCTAGTGGTGATGATGTTGAACAAAGTTTAAGATACAATTCTTTAGCCCTTTATTTTATTATTATTGTTAGGCTTCTCTTTTAATGTTATTTTTTCATAATGACAATGAAATTATACTGAATTTTATGATTTAACTTATTAAAATACTACACACTCACTCACTCACACACAATGTGTGTGTGTGTGTGTGTGTGTGTGTATAGCATCTGCATATCCTAATTTTTCTTAATAAGCTATAATGGTATACCGGTATCATGGTAGGGTACTATGAAAGGAAGTTGGCACAAATATGAGGGATTTAAATTCCTTATTCCCTTGCACCTCGGTTTATTTCTCTTTAAGGCTATGATTGGTAGTTGGTAGTGCCTGGAAAGGCCTTTTTAGCTTTCTTTTCAGAGGAGTGAGAAGGTTCGTCTTTCGATGGATGATCCAATGCCCCAACAACAATCCCTTACCTGGCTCTACTGCCCGTTATGCCAGCTTAGCTGAAATGCCCGCAACCCTTCCAGGCTCAAGATTCAAAAATACCAATCCACTGCTGAACACCCTGACCCATCATGGCCAGCCATCACTTTATCTAGCTTTTGCAAAACAATCCCCGTCCTTTCCCCAGTTTGCTTGCCTCCCAACTCTTGCCTAACCCTATAGACTAACCCAATTTTGTTATCAGTCACTCCTCCCTTAGTTCTAGGCCCACAACCCGACCCATAACACAACCCAACTCAGCAACTCTTCTATCCTATCGCTGAAATGTGTTGATGTTAATATATTCTCTCAATGTGCTTCAAATTGATTGACAGATTTAGCGGTCCAAGTTGGGTTGATTAAGTTCCTTTTTTTGCAGGTTTCTATAGTATCATTAACATGGATTTTCTGGTTTAATTATTGATCTTTGCATATAGTTTGACTTTTCATGAAGAATGGGTTGATATTGGCAGTTGATGGGTTAACATATTTTTCTAGTAGTTCATGTTCACTGTTATATCATATATGTGTGCAATTAACACGAGATAGGGGTGACGAAAATGTGGTGATAATGAGTAGTGGTGATTATTCTTTCTTCATGTTCGTAATGAAATATGGGAAACAGAATGGACTTACAAAACTCATTCCAAGTAGAACTCTGTATAGTTGGAACAGCTATTTGGGCTAGGACGCGTGGCCTAAAATCTTCTTCTTTTTTTCTCTTATATTCTAATTTTCCCTATTCCTTTTTATACTTCCTTTCATGTTAGTGAAGAACACATTTTTCTTGGTATGAGTGTTAAATCTAGAACTAAAATTTGTAGAAACCATCGTGGAGGTCTGTTGAACTAGGGCTAATAACCTTCAGGTGGAGACCTAGATGATTAAAACTAAGTGCAGATATCTGTGTAAGTTTGCTCATGTGGCATGCACTGTGTTAATTTAAGGTGAATTGTTGGGTATAGTTTTGGAAGGTCTTGAGTTTGCACATACCTTGTAATTACAGTTTTTCTTACTTCTCCACAAGTTGATTGTCTATCCACAACATTTTCCACTTGGTTGGGCGAAAATCAAGACAGATGCCAGCTTGAGTCACATTTCTGTTGCAATTGTACTGGTGATAGAAGTTGGAAAAGAGACTATGGATATAAATTTATGGCATGTTTGGTGGATAGTGTCAAGAAAAAGAAGCTAAAATCTTGTTTATACTGTTCAGTTTTGTCTAGTACTACATACCAAGCAGGATTTTCTAGATTATTTGAAGCAGAATTATAGGCTGCTAGGTCAACATGTTTTATGGTTTGGAGTGGGCATCATAAAATTTTGAAGTTGATGCATCTTGAAACACTGTACTATACGGGATGCTGATGTCAATAATAATCATTGTCATATCCTAATAAAAGACTGGAGAAGCTAACACTGCAGGGAATGGAGTGCCATGCTTCTCATTCGATGGAGTGGAATGAAGCTTACTAATGGTAATAGAGAATGTCTTCATCAAGGCAGAGCCATTCGTAAACAATTATAGTATTATACCCTTAAGTGCATGTTTTCTTAGTTATTAATATCCTCTAGTGCTCCACCCCCTCATAAATGCAGAATGTGACGAACTGGTGAAAATTTTATCGAGTTAAAAAATAATAATAATAAAAAAGGGGAAAAACTAATTGTGAAGATAAATTACACATTATAGTCTGTTATTTATGAAAATTATCTGTAAAATTATAAAATTTCAAGTGGATTACTTTGTTTATGTTTTCTTGAGTGAACACTCATTTCGTGCTTAATCTCTTCTTGTACATAGATTTTGAGCGTGTGATACTGATGCAGTTCATGGTGAAGACCAAATCGATCCTGTAATTGTTGTAATTGTATTGTGGGTTTTCTGAATTTCCGGGATATTAAGGTGTGTACAAAGTTGTTCTGCTCTTGTAAGTTAAAATTTGTTGATGTTGAAACTGAATTTTGTTGATTTGATTACTGGTGAAAGTTGATATGGATGGATTCAATCATTCAAGTGTTACTGTTATTAACTTTCATGTTAAATTTTAGTAATTACTTTGCAGTTTAAATCCTACCATTACTAGGTGAGATCACTGAAATTGCGAGGCAACAGACTTTATAGATTAAATGCATTTTTTTTCATTTAACTTTGAATGAAATCTCAATTAAGTCGCCCTACTATAGTTTATCATAACCAAATCATTGAACTTAAATTTACTTTCAATTTTACTAAGCCCTTGTTTGAGCCCCATGTTTTAGAAAAAAATGAATTTTTGAATAGTGTATTGATGGGAAATGTGTGGTTAAAAATAAGGAATTTTTTTTGATTTACGTATAATATTATTTTATTAAAGAATGTGTAATTGAAATGATGTTAAAATACTGTAGAAGAATGCATTTTTTTCTAAATAATAGAGCTCAAACAAGCTATAAGTCTGTTAACCTTTGTCATTGGATGTAACATGTCAACCCTTGTTTTGTCAATTGCAATGATATTGTGATTGAATGGACGCCTCTCATTGTGAGAGTGAGTTCATATAAATTGATATTGGTTGTCTAATTACAGTCGGTCATATATGGTATCTATACATGTATGAAATAAATTAAGAACCTACTAAATAAAGAGAGAACAGCAGCTAATATATTATATTTCTAGCTGTAAATCAGTGGCATTAATATAGGCTAATAGAGTCTACTCATGGCTTCGATGAAGATGTCGGCAATCTGAATGCTAGTAGAGATATGAGGAAGAGAGAGAGCTTAAGAGTCAACAGCCTCTCGAATATAACTATAGTCTACTTTGATATGGTTCATATGCCCATGATAAACTAGATTAACAGTTGTATGAATAGCACTTATGTTGTCCACGTGAAGAGGAGTGGGATCAGACGGAGAGAAGTCAAGTTTTGCTAGCAGCCTACAAAGCTAGTCAATCTCAGAGTAGACAGCAAACATGGCACGATATTTGATTTCAGTCGATGATTTCAACATACAAGCTTGCTTTTTGCTCTTCCAGGAGATCAGAGTCACCAAGAATCATAGACCAGCTCATAATAGAATGACGGGTATCAGGCACTTACTATATACAACATGTAGAGGAGACCCAATACGAAAAAATAATCAAAGGTGAGAAGTATCTCGAAGATATCAAATTATGCGACATGTATTAAGATGCAGATGTCGTGGAACTTATATGAATTAGCTAAGTTGTTGGATGGCAAATGATATGTTTGATCGAACGATTGTCAAGTAATTGAGACTGTCGACCAATTGAGGAAAATAGTGAATTAGAAAGAAGATTGTAACGTCCCAAAATCTATTTCATTTTTGTTTTACAAAAATAGACTTGAAGTGTGACAAAAAATCTTCTTTATCTAATTTAAGCGGAAAATCAATTTTGTTTTTAAATTTTTTTATAGATTTAATCAGTAAGTTAATAATGATAAACTAAAATTTAAGCGAACTTTTCATATCCAATAAAAGTTTTGAAATACTACAATTTCAACACATTAATTTAAATCTAACATATAACGTCAAATGTTTGAACACAAAAAGATATATTAAATAACTTGCTTAAAAGTTAACATAAAGATGTTCTTCAAATAATAATTTTTTTTTTTTTTTGTAAATTATCATTTTTAGAAATTTTACTTGACGATCACATAAGCATCACTCGATCAAATCTGTCATGTGTCCAAACGATCCGTTCTAATGTAAAAAATTATTGTAAGAGTAAATATTTTGAAAATACTCGGTAAAAATACGTGCATATTCTTATTAACAACATATAAGTATAAAATGATATAACATATCGACATTTCTTAATTTTAGAGAAAACTGGCAACGATATCCAATAGCTCAAGAAATTTTTAAAAAATTTCTATATCTCGTAGGATTTACATATTCGACCTAACGGTCCATCTCTTAGGATTTAACGTAGAAATCAACACGAAGGTGCTAGAGTATTACATGCCAAAGTCTATAAAAATATCAAGAAAATAAAAATTTACCACTTGCACAAAGTATTTTTACCTCAATTTGATACCAAAAAAATCTGAAAATATGTTTGTAGAATAATAGTAAAGAGAATTATTTCCAACAGTGTGTGCATATCAACGTAGGAAATGAAGTTTATGTTTTAAAAGAAAATTTAAGAATTCTTATATCCTGTAGGATTTACATATTCGACCTAACAGTCCATCTCTTAGGATTTAACATAGAAATCAACACGAAGGTCTTAGAGTATTACATGCCAAAATCTATAAAAATATCAAGAAAATAAGAATTTACTACTTGCACAAAGTATTTTTACCTTAATTTGATACCAAAAAAAAGAAAAAGAAATTCTGAAAATGTGTTTGTAGAATAATAGTAAAGATAATAATTCCCAACAGTGTGTGCATATATCAACGTAGAAAATGAAGTTTATATTCTAAAAGAAAATTCCAATTTAACTATATACATATATATAATATACACGAATACTGTAACTCCAACTTATCATTTTGAGTGAATTGCCCAAATGGTCAATGAACTTTGTTAAAAGTTTCGAAAGGGTCATTTAACTTTAAAAATCACCTAAATGTTCACTGAACTTTGCAAATAGTTTATACGGGGTCACTGAACTTTAAAAATCATCTAAATGATCATTGAACTTTGCAAAAAAATTTCACGAGATCACTGAACTTTACAAAAGGTTTCCCAGGGATCACCGAATTCAGTGACTCTTGGGAAACCTTTTGCAAAATTTAGTGACCACTTAGGTGATTTTTAAAGTAAGTGACCCCGTAAAAATCTTTTACAAAGTTCAATGACCATTTAGGTGATTTTTAAAATTCAGTGACCCTTTAGAAACTTTTTGCAAAGCTCAGTGACCATTTGGACAATTCACTCGATCATTTTTCGGTTTCATTTTTCAATTCCAATCAAACAACTTTTCGGTTTCGTTATTTGATTCCAATGAAATGGCTTTTAGGTTACATTATTTAATTCCAAACGTATTTTTAAGAGTTTATGGATTAATTAAATCAATTATTATCATAATTAAGGAATTTAATTATGTTTAATTTATTAAATTATGATAATCATTTTCAAATTCCCAGTAACCGTACTGTATTGAAATGATAGTTTCTTTTATTTTATTATTAATAAAATATAGGATTTAAATTACTTTTCTTTCTACCAAGATATATATATATATATATAATGGACATCGGTACTTAGCTTATATTAAGCACCGGTAACATAACACATAAATTAATTGGTGAATTATTAAATTCATGTAACCTGTCATTAATATATTCATCAATCAATTGTTATGTACCCATTAGATCATTCCTCCACCCTACACACACACACTATATATATATATATATATATATATATATATATATATATATAGAGGAGACATACTGACTTGGATAAAAAAAAGGTTGAAGCAAAATAGATCGAAATTTCTCAAACCAACACATGGTGAGCTTGTTTCAAGCCATAAAGAGACCACTTCAATTTGCATACTTGTGAAGGAGAGAAAATGACGCCCAGAGGAGGCGTAATGTAAATATTCTCCTTAAGATGATCATGAGGAAATGCATTTTGACATCCACCTCATGAAGTGGCCACCCTTGAGAGGTAGCAATAGAAAAGATCACATACACCGTAGTCATCTTAATTATTGGAGCAAATGTTTCCTCATGATCCATTACAAGTCTATTCTCGAGAGCCACCAGGTGAGCCTTATAACGATCCAGAGTCCCATCAGATCAAATAAACCTACTTATAACCAATAACCTTCACATTTAATGGGGGCCATGAACAATGTCTCAAGTGTGATTCTTCTAAAGTGCCCAAAGTTCTTCATCTATAGCCTTCTGCAATATTCATATCTAACAGCCTCGGGATAACTTGTAGGCATAGGAATAGATGTCCATGTAGTAGCAAGTGATGAATGAGTAAATCATACCTATCAGGACGTCGAAAAACTCAAGTTGAGCATTGAGGACTTGAGTTAATGGGCATGTTATTCTCAGATACCAACTCAAGCTCAGGTTGTAGAAGCAAAAGCTGAACAAGCTCAGATGTTGAGTCTATCTCTGGAAGGTACGTAAGTGGCTGATGTCTTTCATACACAAATCTCGGTTTGAACCGCTCAGGAAAAGTCAAATTATCAAAATCATGAAGAATACTAATTTTAGACAAAAACTCAACATGAGTAGGAAAGAAATGGAGGCTATCGAAAATATCATTACAAGAAATATAAAATCATTTACAACATGGATTATAGCAAATATAGCCTTCGTGCGAAACACTATAACCCATAAAAGCACATTGAACTGATTGAACGAAAAGTTTGTGTCGTTCATCAAAGTGCAAATGAACAAATTAAATGCACCTAAAGGTATGCAAATCATGATGAGTAGGACACTGATTATGAAGATAATATGGAACCTCAAAGTATAAAACTTGAGAAGGCAGTTTATTGATTAAGTAAACTGCAGTAGATTATGCTTTAACGTAGAATTTTGACAGGATAGATGAATCAACCAATAATGTTAAAAAACATCTAAGAGGTGACAATTTTTCTATTTTTTCATCCTATTTTGTTGAGGTGTATAACGGAAAGATCGTTGAGATATAATCCCATAGTGTAAGAAATCATAAAACTCGCGAGACATGTATTCTCCACCAGAATCAAATCACAAAATTTCAATATGAGCAGAAAATTGAGTCTCAATATATGTCACAAGTCTTTAAAATTGAAAGTATCCCAAATTTAAAATGTAGGAAATAAACCTATGTACATCGAATATATTCAAATAAAAGTCAAAAAGTATTTATACTGGCATGAGAAACAGCAAGCATGATGTCCCAGACATCACTATATACAATATCAAAGCTCTTGTTGGCATGATTACCATGAGAAGGAAAATGAAGACTTGCTCTTTCCTAATTTGCATGTAGAACAATCAAAGTATAGATTTAAGAAAAAATTATTTTTATAGCCCAACAGACCAAAATTCCACGA